CATATGAAATTCAAATTTGCTGGTGATAGTGATAAAAATCTGGTAGTACTGATTTGTGGGTTGCTCTAGTTAGCATCTCTTCCTTGTATTTTGATACTGTTTAGAAAGAATTGTCCAATTGAAAAATAAAAATCCCAGAATGAGAAAGCCTACCTTTTCATGATTATTGAGTTGAGAATTTTAGGGGAAAAGTACTCACTGTTCAGGAAACTGTTTTCTAATTTAGTCCAGCTCAACTAAGAATCTTATGATTCTCAGTTGGGGGTTGGCTAGGCTGAAGCTCTGACCACAGTACTCTGCTCTTTCATACCAACCATGTAAGCCCTATCCCTTCAGGGTCACTATCGCACTGATATTTACATTGTACCCTCTGGTACCCATTCTATTGGTAAAAACTGTCCTTTATATTAGACCTGTGTATTAGAACAGAAATTAGGACCATAGAATTAAAGCTGGAAGGGACCAGAGAGGCCATTAAGTCTAGTCACTATTTTAAAGATGTGTATTTATCAAATTTGTTTAGATATTCCTATTTCCCCTAGAAAATTTAAGCTTTTTAAAGTCATGACCTGTTTCCTTTTGTCTTTGTATCCCCAGTCCTAACACAGTGCCTGACACAAAGAAGCTTGTTGAAATGACATACTTTCTGGAAAATCGAATTGTAATGGGAGTCAGGATTCTTCCTGTTCTACTCTTACCTTTCTATTAAAGCCTTTTGTAATCTGGCCCTGAATTTACTTTTCCAACCTTCTTAATACATTACTCCCCTTCCACTTACTTCAGTCAGCCAAACTGGCCTTGCCATTTCTCACATACAACACTGTTATTTCCCTCCCCATACCTCTCACGGGTTGTCAAATATGCTGGAATTCTTACCTCTCCCTCTTAGAATCTTTTGTTTCCTTCAAAACTCCATACTCAAATTACACCTTTCCTGATCCCCTACAGTGCCTTCCTGACACCAAATCTTCCTTGCATATATTTTTTACATATACTAATTTCTGTGTATGTTATCTCCTCAGATATAATGTAAAGCAATGTAAACTCCTTAAACGGAGGGATGATTTCATATTTGAGTGAGTGTCCCCCTGTGTCTAGAACAGTGCCTCATATATAGTAAATGGGGCTTAGTAAATATTTGACTTGTGGATTTGGTTTTAGGGAGATTAGTTTGGCAGTAGTATAAGTGATAGATTAGAATGGGGTAGGGAAGACTTTGGAAACTGGTAGATCAGAAAGGGAGATTTTGCTATAATCTAGTCATGAGGTGATGAGAACCTGGACTAGGGTAATGACAGTGTAAGGAAAAAGGAAAGGGAAAAGTTGAGAGATATTTTGAAGGAAAAAAAAAAAGAACCATATGCAAAATCTGGCCTATATGCAAATTGGCAGATGGGCCCTAACCAGAGGTAGGAAAAAAAATCTTGGCTTGGAGTTTTTAAAACAGTAAAGTTCATTTTAAATGTATTTATGTATATGAATTAAAAAACAAAATTAAATCAATTAAACTAAAATAAAACATGAGTTAACAGTGAGTTAAAAACAATGACATTCTTTTTCCATGATGAGACTGTTTTGATTTTGAATTTAACATGTTTTTTCAATTAACTTAAAAAACATAACCTCCCTTACTATTGCTATACACTTACTGGGTATAATTAAATCTACAACCATAGTCATTTTTATAATCATCTAGATATCTATAGGTGACTAACCTGGCACCAGTAAACAGATACTTCATGCTTGCTTATTTCATTATGATGTTGACTGTGATCCAATGGTTTAGCTCAGAATAGCAAATTTACTCCATGGTCACTCATTGTTTATACTTTACTGGGTTATACTTCTCACAAGCTTATTTTCATACTTACATGCAATAATAACATAAAAGCTTATGTTAGAAGCAGCAGTTGTCTCCCGTTTATATTTTCCCACATGGGTCAAAAAAAATGTTATAAATCCATAAGGAATTACCCTTTGGGAAATATCACATACCACAGATATAATAGGAACAGCAGCTATACAACTCAATTTCCTTTATAAAGCCTGACATATTGTTGGTATGTAATGTGTTATTACAAATGAGGATGGGATCTGAACTCCAAAAAAGAAAAACCCTAGACTTTCCCACATGGTCAAATCTCTGGTATTTGCCTGAGGCTATAATCCCATCAACTGGCCTTTCATTGTGGCTACACCAGTCCCCCAATTCTGTTACCCTTAACCTAGCCTAGCCCTCCATTGTCTTAGCTCACTATGGCCCTCAGCCACTTCTCACCCTCAATCCTACCTAGGCAGGTCCCTGGCGTTCTATTACCTCACAGTTCCTAAAGACTACATGGCCACTCCTAGATCCCTCCCACAGTCTTTCTGTATATAAGGTCCATCTTGTCTCTATTAAGGTGCTCAGATTCTTAAAATCTAGCCAATAGCTTACTAATGTTCAGACTCCTTAAGAGTCTGCCCAATATGATGGATGTTCTAATAAACCCTGTCTTTGGCTAAAAGAAGGCTTGGGTCAAATTCATTTGCACAGTACCAGCGTGCTGTGATTTTGGGGTCCCAGCACCCCTAAACTCCTATGCCTCAACAATAATAATGATGTAGGGGCAGCTAGGTGGTACAGTGGATAGAGCACCGGCCTTGAAGTCAGGAGGACCTGAGTTCAAATCCAGCCTCAGACTAAACACTTGACACTTACTAGCTGTGTGACCCTGGGCAAGTCACTTAAACACAATTGTCTAAAAAAAAAAGTTCAACTTCAGTTTAGAGCAAAGATGGGTTACTAAAATGCTGTTTTCTTCCACAAAGAAATATTATACAACATCCTCATGGTATACTGGAAAAAAGGTTCAGATTTTGAGTTAAGAAAAAACTTTGTTTGCATCCTAGCTCCATTGTTACTTGTGTAACACTAAGTCACTGAACTTCTCTGGGCCTCAGTTTGCTCCCCTATAACCCAAATGATCAGACTATCTATAAATCTATGATCCTAAATATTCCTAACTCAGTACAGTGTGTTCTCCTTAACCTACTCCGAGTTACTTTCATATACCAAGTTGAATATGGACCTTGGTTCTGCAACTTGTTCAGTTAAGAGTATAGCTCACAAATGTTCAGATTCCTTAAGAGTCTGGCCAATATGGTGGATCTTTAACAAACCTTATCTTTGGCTGAAAGAAGGCTTGGGTCGAATTCATGTGCGCAGTACCAGCATGTAGTGATTTTGGGGTCCCAGCACCCCTAAACCTCTGAACCTCAACAGTATGGTGCTATTATACAGATGTCAGGAAAAAAACAAACATCTGATTCTTTGTCTAGACTCCAGGAATTAGCACAATTGCAACTCTAATCTAAAATTTTTTAAAAAACAAAACAAAATAAACATCTTCACAAATTTTAGCGTCATCTTTCAACAAATTCCAAATCACACCTTTAACAAATTATTTACTATGAAATGGTGGTCGCCATTTTAAGCGGATTCATTTTAGGAAGGCTTTTTTCCAGTATATCAATAGTAATCCTCAGATGACTAGGATATCATGTATAGATGGGCTTGCCACAAATCTGTCTCTTGGAGAACTAGAAAGATTTCCAGTCCCAGATTCTGGGCCACTCACAGGACAGATGTGACCTTGGGACTATCCGCTTCGCTTAATTACCTCCGTTTCCAAACGTAAAACGAAGAGCTTAGACGAGGGGAGTCTCAAGTCCCAGGCCTACCCATGCTTAGACTGTAACAGATTGAATTTGGGGGCACCCGCCATTTAACTACAACAGCACGATGTGGCCCAGGAGAATGAATTCTCGAAATCACTCTTCCCTTTGAGGGCCGAACCTCCAACAAAACCCACAAGTGCGGGAAGTGCACGGGGCTTTCTTGACCTTTCATAATGTAGCTAAGTCGGCTCGGGGGTAAGGCAAGCCTCGTCAGCCCTGGAAGGTCTGGCACTGGCCCGAGCCAGCGCCAAACACCGAGGGGCCCGGCTTCCCAACGGAAAGGGCGGGCGCCGCCATGGGAGCTCTGCACACACGAAGCCTACGTCGCGGGAACTGCCTCCCTTTGAGGCCCCGAGAACTTCCGAAAGCTTGCTCCGAAAATGTAAGCCGGGGCCACCGCCACAGGCCAGAACCGCGCCTCACAATCCGTTCCTTGGGATTGTTGGACAGCTACTGTTACGGCTCGCCCTGACTAACGCGCATGCGCCGCTACCCCCCCTTTTTTTCCCCTTCTCCCCGCTTCCTTCCCTTCCCCCTCCCAGCCCGGCTGACAGCCTTTCTGACACTTCCGTTTCGAACTGCCCGGCCAGACCCGAACCTTCCAATAACAAACGCCCTTCCCCAAGAAACGCCCCCTCCCCGCCTTCCGTTCCCGGTAACCAGACCTCCTTTCCCACTCCTCTCGGGCAGCCAGTCGCCCTCAGATCCCCTTCCTCTTACGCACGCGGGGCGCGCGGACGTCGCTGGCTGACGACAGCAGCTACGCAGCCGCCGCTCCCGCTCTCCCCCACCGGCGCTTGGGGCCGGAGGCAGGTGTAGCGGCTACGGGGAGGGACCGGGCTGAGCAGCCGCTGCCGGCGGCGGCTTCATGAGTCTCCTGCTGTCGCCGCCGCCGTCGCTGCCACTACTGCTGCTGGTCGTGACCAGGGGCACCTGCGCCTTCCTTTCCCAGGACGGGGTCATGAACGTGTGCAGCAGCAGCAGCAGCGGCGGCAGCGGCAGCGCGGGTCGCGCCACCCCCGCCGTGGGCTGCCGCGGCGCGGGGCTGGGCCCCCAGTGCCTGCGGCTGCCTCCCGTGCCGGGCGCCGATCCCCAGCGCTGCAACGAGCTTCTCCTGTTGGCGGCGGCGGGGCTGCGCGAGCAGGAGAACCCGCCGGGGAGGCCCGGGGAGACGTCGGCGGCAGCCCCCCAGCATCACGTCCTCTACTTCCCGGGAGACGTGCAGGTATGCGGCGGCCCCGCCCCCTCGCTCCCTGCCCCTTCCTGCTGGAATCCTTTACCTGGGTGGTCTCTGGGACCCGCGCGGAGGGCCCCGGCCTGCTCCTCCCCGTCCTCGGCCAGGCCCGGGAGAGTTTGCCCTGCGAGGTCCCGCCCCCGGGAGGTGCCCCGGCCGCCCAGCGTTCCCGACTTGTGAGTGGCCCGTTAGGGCGGTGGGAGGAGGGAGTGTGTGTAGGGTTCTAGGAGAGGCTGCCAGGTACTGGGGTCTGTGTGACCCAGGTGACAGTGCTGGGGCCGGAGGGAGGGGACGGAGAAAGTGGAGCCTATCCATAGTAGTAGTTTGAGGCTCACCTAAGTTCTGAACCCTTAATTTGATTAATAGCATTTTGCTTGACAGATTTTAAGAAGGTGGCAGGGTTCCTGAAAGTTTGGGTGTCTCGTGAAAAGCCCATCAGACTGTTCCTCTGTCTGCTTTGCTGAAAGCCCCTTCTAGCCTTAGGTGTTCCCCAGGGTTCGTCCTGCGGCCTCTCCTGCGGCCTCTCGTTAGCTCCCATAGATTTAGTTATAATATCTATACTAATGCATCTCAGATCTACCTATCTGCTCCATGCTGACATAAACAATTTCGAATTCCCATCTGCCTTTCGACATCTCCGACTGAATTGGGTAGACACCCAATCTTAAATATGTCCAAAACGGAACTCCTCTTAAACATCCCACCTCCCTATTACACTTACTCCAGCATCACTATTTTCCCAGCCCCCCAGGCAGGCAACTAACATCTATGTCATCCTCAACTCTTCATTGCCTCTCAACCTTCATTATCCAGGCTGTCGATTTCACCATTGTAACATCTCTCCAATAGTCCCCTTTTTTCTCTGATACTGCCACCACTCTAGTTGGGAGAGGGGGTTAGTAGGAGAGAATAAGCATTTATATAGCACCTACTGTGTGCTAGTCACTGTGCTAATAAGCATTTTACAAACCTCATTTGATCCTCACAACAACCCTGGGAGATAGGTACTGTTCTTATCCCCATTTTACAGATGAGTAAACTGAGGCAGACAGCGATTAAGTGACTTGCCCAGGGTCAATTGGTTGTTGTTCTTCATGCTTGAAGAGGGCCAAAATGACATCACTATGTTGGAGTCAAGGTCCAGTGTCACTGGCTGTGGCTAATCAGACCAATACAAATAATCCATATGAACGTTTGAAATGGAAATGGCCAAGGTCACACAGCTAGCAAGTGTCTGAGGCTGGATTTGAACTTCTTGACTTCCTGACTGATTCAGGCCCTCTTCACCTCATGCATGGGACTATTGTAATAGCCTGGTGATGGAGCTGCTTGCTTTATATCTCTTCCCCACTACAATCCATCCTCCAAAGTGTTTTTCCTAAAGTAGGTCCAACCCTGTTACCACCTTACTCAGTAAACACCATTGTTTCCCCATCAACTCCAGAATCAAATTAAAAACCTTCTGTTTGGTGATCAAAGCTCTCCATATCCTAGCCTCCAATTCCTGCTGTTTCTTAGGCTTCTTACACGTTATTTTTCTCCTCTATTCAGTTGCACTGGCCTCCTTACTGTTCCACCAACAAGACACTTGTCTATTCAGACATTCTCTCTAACTGTCCCCCGTACCTGGAATTCGGTGCCTTATCAATTCTGCCTCCTGGCTTCCTTCCCCTAACTAAAAATACCATTTTCTACATGAAGCCTTTCCCATTTTCTCTTAACTCTATTGTCTTCCCTCTTTTAATTATGTCATATTTATCCTGGATATAGCTTGTTGGTATTTGTTTGCTTTGTTAACTCACCCATTAGATTATGAACTCCTTGAGGGCAGGTACTGTCTTTTGCCTCTTTTTTATTCCCAGTGCTTAGCACAGTGCCTGACACCTTGTAGACATTTAATAAATGCTTAGTGACTAACAGCAAAAGTATGTGTAATTTAATATAAACAGTATACTTTTGAGGAAGGGATGTGTGTGTATACATACACATGCATATACATACATGTATTAAAATATAAATAAGATTCATTTCTGAAAAGTATTTGGTAATATAGTATTATTCAACAACTAATCTATGCATTGAGCTCAGTGTAGTATCGCAGAATCTCAAAGTTGGAAGGGAACTCAACTTATACCTGAACAAGAAATCCCCTGTGTAGTTTTATCTAACAAGTGACCATCCAGTCTTTGAAGACCTCTTGTGAAGGGGAACTCAGTCTTTCCTCCATTTCACTTTGTTGTTGTTGTTCACTTGTTTTTCAGATGTGTCCAACTCTTTGTGACCCCATTTGGGATTTTCTTGGCAAAGATACTGGAGTGGTTTGCCATTTTGGCACTCTACCCACTGCACCACCTAGCTGCCCATTTCACTTTTGTATAGTTCTAATTGTTTGGGGATTTTTCTTTATATCAAGCCTAAACCAATATCTCAGCAGCTTCCACACAGTTGCTCCCAATTCTGCCCTCAGAGACCAAGAACAAGTCTAATGCTGTTTCCACACAGTAGCCCTTCACATAATTGAAAATAACTGTTATGTCCCTGTCTGGTTTCTGGGGTCACTGTCCCCTTCTTGTTTCCCCTGCCCCCCCCCAAGTTTTCTCTAGGCTAAAAGTCTTCACTTTCAACTAATCTTCTTTATGTCATGATTGCCTGACCCTTTACCAAGGTTACATTTCTCTGGAAAATCTCCTGTTTAACATCTTTCCTATATTGTGTCACCCAAAACTGAAAACAGTGATGTAATCTGACCAGGGTAGAGTACACTAGCTGGCCTATCACGTCTCATCTTGGACATTATGCCTCTCATTTTAATTTAAAATTATGCTACTTTTTTGTTTATACTGTTGATTCATATTCAAAGTGAGGTCCACTAAAACTTTTATATCTTTTTCAGATGAATGGCTGTCCAGACATGGTTTCTCCATTTTGTACTTGTGAAGTTAATTTTATTCACATTAAATTTCATGGTACTATATTTAGTACATAAAAGTACTTTAACATTTAAAGTTAAATTGTGTTTGAGTCTATATTGAAGATGAATTATGGTAACTTGTTGAGAGGTATTATAATAAAGAGAATGGGTTAATAATTTGTGGTAACAAAATGTACAGATCATTTGTAACATTAAAATAATTGGATAACTCAGTTTTCATTATTGTGTCTTGTAGACTTTTTGTCTAAAAATTATTAAAAGCACACAAGTTAATACCTGAATGAATTGTAAAAATTAATAAAATAGAACTATTTAGCAAGAGTCTTAAAAAAATCACTGGGTTCATATCAAATAATCATAGAATATTGGAGGTAGAAGGAACCTTAGAAGTAATCCAGTTCAACTTCATGCCCAGTGCAAATCCTTATCCACATTTCTGCTTGAACTCTTCCGGTGATTCAGCATAGGTTTATTAAATGCCTATATACTTGGCCACTTATAAAATAGCTCATTTCATTTTTAAAATTTTTACAAAATTTTTATTCATTTCTGTCAAGGGTACCAGCATCTTTCCTATTACCCAGATTTACAGCTGTGATGTCATCATTAATTTCTCACATGCACCCTTATAAATCCAGTTAGTTGCTGAATCTTATCCCTTCTCCCTCCAAAACATCTCTTGCGTCCTTTCCTATCTCTTCACACAGCTGCCACTCTAGTTTAGCTGCTTAGCCTCTCTTACTTGCAGTATTATCATAGCTTCCTGATTTGTATCCATGCCTCAGGTCTCTCTCTTTATGCCAATTCATCCTGCACAGAATTGCCAGGGTGATTTTTCTAAAGCTCAAGTCTGGTTATGTTACTCCATTACTTAGTTAACTCCAATGGCATTCTATTACTTCTAAGATCAAGTATAAACTCTTCTGTTTGGCACTTAAACCCCAACTCTACCAGACAAGCTAACTAACTTAACTTTCCAGCCTTATTATATATAACTCCCCTTCACATACACTTTGATCCAGCCAAATTGACCTTACTATTTCTCATGTGATATCTCATTGCCCATTTCAATGCCTTTTCCCTCATTGTCTCCCATGCCATCTCAAGGAATTTATAGTTTTCTTCAAGTACCACTTTCTGTATGAGGCTTTTTCCTGATACTCCAACCGCTGTGCTAGTGACTCCCCTCTTAGCTGTTTGGTATCGATTGTGTGTGTGTGTGTGTGTGTGTGTGTGTGTGTTATATGCATATATGTATATATGTATTTACACATACACACATACATATGTACACAAATATATATAATGTCATGTTCTCCAATTCAATTGTAAATTCAAGGGCAGGAAATGTTTAATTTTTGTTTTTGTATCCCCAGTACCTGACACTTAGTAGGTACTCAGTGGATGCTTGTTGTTTGATTTTTGACTTACCTTGAGTTGGAATCAACCTCTCTACAATGTCTACTAACAGGAATTAGGCTGCCCTGTTGGTAATAAATTTAAAAATCTACTCTATCTTATATATGATAGTTCCTCAAAGAACCAATTTGGGGTGGAGGGGGGAGTTCTGTTTGTATATTTTTCACTTTGTTCAGTGGTTTCTCCCCAGACTTTTACACTTATAGGTCCGTAGGTACTATAGGTATTGGGGTCAAGGGTAAGCTTGTGACAAGGCTAGTATAGAAAACCTTGCTTTATTACTTCCAAGTTGGTATGGTACCTTAAGTGTTGGGGTAGGTCTTTAATGAAATCTAATATTGTTGCCACGCAGAGTTGGAAAGGAATTGACAGGAGTTAAAGCAAACCTGCCAATTGCCGTTAGGTTTTTTGTTGCAGCTGAGATAGCTGCAGAAGGTCTTGAACAGGTCTCTGTATAACACTGGACTGTTGCAAAGAAAGGTACAAATGAAAGTCATTTAAGACAGCCCCTGTCTCAGGTACATACAGCTTATCTGTGTGGAGAGCAGACAGCATATATATGCCAGTATTCAATGCCTGTTGGTGTCAGATTAATTCTAGTAGTGGTACTTGAGGTATAGTGCTACAGAGATTTCTTTTTTTAACTCAGTTCTGTGATTAACTTAATAAAGATTACCTCCTAGCTTCCCAGACTTCCTTTAGGTCCTACCTAAAATCTCTCCTTTTACAAGAAGCCTATTCTTGACCCCCTTTAATG